AGATTCCAGAAACATAGAACTTCAGAGATATGATTCGATAGTAGGCATTAAAGATAAAACTAAGGGAGAGTACCTGGCGTTCAATGCGTAATAAGAACTGGAAACCCTTTTCATATGGAACCTGAGAATACACATCGTCTGGGTCGATTCCTTCCTGGTTATTTACAAGCTTAGTAAATTCCATATTATCTCTGAATCTCTCAGCAACTTCTTCATTTAAACCCCTCCAACCAATTCCGGTGTTCAGTGCAGCTCTTTCTTCCCCTTGCACAACCTCCACAATTCTCCTCTCCGCATACGTAGTGAAGCCCTAAAGTCAAATTAAAAATAATTTCATCATTAAAGATTTGTTTTTCCAAACCCAAAAAAAATCAATTCCGAAACAAAATCCTGATGCAATGCAAGACAAAATGACCTATTCACTTGCACAATAATAAAATCAAAACTAATACTTTGAAGCCATCTCCGGCTATGCTACAAACAGAATACAAGCTAAAGGAAGAATGCAAAATGGAAGGTATACATATTAATGAAAAAATTGCTTTCATTGTTTTTCCCTAATGCTGTCATGATTTTCAATTAATCATAGGAACCAAGCATTCCAACAAGAGATAAAAACTGCATAAAGACAAAACAAATTTGATTCATAAATAAGAAGAAAACGAAAATTATTTATATTAATATATTTGCTGGGGATTGTTAGTGCTTTAGTATGAACACACAAAAAAAAAAAAAAACTCAGGACAAAGCAAAGTTGGTCCCTTCCGCTGTTTGACATCAACACTCTCTGACATTTTGTGGAGTTCAAATTTGAAAATAGGAAACAGTATATAAAGAGAAATTGATTGACATACACGGCATATCAGTCCACTAGTTTATTAGAACATTTTGAGCTTAGTTGAACACATTAAGCTTGCTTAACTCCACGATGGCGACCGACAAGAGACCATATCATGTAATGTGCTCTAACTGGTACTAGATGCTAAAAAGAGTATAGTGATCAAACAGACGAAACTTCCATTACCTCATTCAACCAAAAATGTTCATTGGTCTTGTTAGTGATCAAATTCCCTGTCCAACTGTGAGCGAGCTCATGAGCCACCACCTGTGCTCCACTGGCATCCCCCTTAATGACAGTTGGTGTCAAGAACACCATCCTTGGATTCTCCATGCCCCCAACGGGAAAACTAGGCGGTAATACCAACAAATCAAATCTCTCCCACTCGTACTCTCCAAACAAACTCTCTCCTTGCCTTATCACAACTTCTGTCCCAGTAAACTCTATCGCCGCCGCGTCCAACAGTTCAGGTACCGCCTCGGCATATATTCTAGTCCTAGGGCCCACATCCCGGTTACCAATTTCCCCGACTGCAAATGCAAACAGGTATGGAGGCACTGGCTGCTCCATCACAAACTCCTCAACCACCCTCCCTTGTGCACACCACGATGAATTCCCACAACCCAGTTCTTCTGCTTCGTTGTTAACTGGACGACGTCGTTCCACGTGCCGTGCAGCCATCACTGCCGATAACTGATCCGGGATGTTCAGGCGCGCGGAGTAGCATATTCGCACCGCAGGAGTGTCCTGACATGGAAACACCGAACGTGCGTGAATGGCCTGGCATTGTGTATACACAAAAGGGTGGGCTTTGTTAAATGTTTGAAGGGGATTGAGCCATTGCAAGGCCGAAGAAGAAGGTGAGGTAGTGTATGTGACCAGAAATGAGGAATGGTTGGAAAGAGAAACGGATAGTTGACGACCCTTGATCGGGTCATTTTCAGAGAGTGAAAATGGAATTGGGGTTTTCGATTGCAGGTCGAGAATGGAGTTGATTGTGAGAGAACGAGTGTCGAGGAAGAAAGGGCCAGTGTGAGGGTTTGCGAGGGAAATCAGAGCAGAGGCATGGATTATGGAGGACGAAAAGTCGAAGTAGAGAGAAAGGGAAATGTGGGAAGTGGAGGGTTGAGTGGAGTCTGCGAAAGAGTGAGGGTCAACCGGTGCCATTGTTGAAAGAGTGATGGATTATACAAAAACTCCATTATTGACCAAGTTGAGTGTTTTATCATCGCACTTGGCAAGTTAAATTTCCCGTGGGGTCTTGTCTTGAGAGAGGCTAGGAATTTGTCTAAACCCTTATTCTAAATGATGATCAAAGTTCTTTTTTTTTTTTGGCCAATAAATGATGATCAAAGTTTGAACTTTGACCTTTGTTCTGATTCTACCAGGCTATCAGCAAACAGCATTAATCCTGGAGACCCTCTTTCATAAAGCTGAGTTTCATTGTTATTCCAATTAAAATCGGATAATTTTTATTTTATTTTTTTACAATTTATATTCATCTAATTTTAATATCATTAATGTAAACGACTTTTTTTAAAATTAAACTTAAACACATCAACATTCAATAATATTTTATCATTATTTAAAATTTTAATGTCAATTTTTTTGCAGGGTTAGATTAAGGACTAAATTTATAAAATTAAAGAATCAACACGATGTTAAAAAAACTAAATATATATTTTGGCTAATTTTATTATCCTAACATGTATAAGTTGCTTCTTATAGTGAATATTTTTGACCAAATGCAGAGTTACGCTGTGTAATTTGACTTTTTAATATCTTCTGCTTCTATTTTTTTTTTTTCCATAGAAGGCAAATCTTCAGTTTATGTTATGGGGAAAAAAAACGAAGAGATGCAGGTCAGTATAAAAATAAAAACAGAGAATTAAGATATATTAATCATGAATTTATAAGCTCAATGTACAATGGACGGGGGAGCCCACACCAAAGATGTTTGTATGTACATGTTCTATGTCCAATATGCTTAATTTGATTGAATGTGACATTTTTAACCTGCAGTCTCCATTCCAAAGGGTTGTGTTTCAAAATCATTTTTCAATTCCTTTGCTCGTGACTGTTTCTCGTAGCGTAGGAAGCGAGCTGGCTTTGCTGATTTCGCATAGGTAAGACTGTAAGAGTATAGAAAGAGGCAGGCGCCTTTGAAGCAAAGAAGACAATTCACAATTACTCGATCTTATCTTACACTGTGATAATCAAAGTCTACAACTTTACATCGCCAAAAAAAGAAAACAGTTAGTTCAACCACAAAACTAATGAATTGGCTAATAATCCGGTCTAATTTAAGAGGATGTTTGGCAAACTTGCCAAAATCACTTTTAAAACTCAAATCATGGTTTGATTTAAAAAGTTGCCAAACACTCCATATTTTTATAAAACTATGGTTTGGCTCCAAAACCATGATTTGACCCACCTAAATTATGGTTTCATAAAAAGGAAAAAAATGTTTCTTTTTGAAAATGTGGTCTTTTTTTTACATTGTAATACTACCTCTAGTTCTTAATATTAGAGCTAGTTAACTAATTTGAATAGATTAAAAAAATTAGTTAAGTTAGTTATTTGTAATAAATGGGTGTTATCTTTCCTAAAATACTCTTCTGGTCATGTGTATTATCTAAAATTACCATTTGATAAAATATTTAACATGTGCAATTACTAGAAAGACTACTTTAAAAAAATAAATAAATATAAGAAATGAAATAGATTGATGTTTTATATTTAGAACCAAATTGAATATCAAAATAGTTCTTATATTAAAGTTCAGAGGTAGTATGTTGTCAAAAAAATTAGTTGTGAAAAAATAGTGGGATTTCATATTTAAAATCTTTAAGGAAAAATAATATTTTTCTGTTAGGAAAAATAATATTTTCCTAAAAACATATTTGATCTTATATTTTATAAATACATATAGACATATGCATTAATTATTAATTTCATTTTCATAAATTTGGCAAGAAATATATTATTAACAAATTTATTACTTCAAATGAAAATACTACCTCCGGTCCTAATTATAAGAGCCAGTTGACTAATTTTAGGAGATTAAGGAAGTAAGTTAAGTTAGTTATTTGTCCTAAATAAGTGTTGTTTTTCCTGAAATATCCTTGCTAATCAAGTGTATTGATTAGAACTATTATTATTAGAAGGGCTATTTTGAAAAAAAAATGTATAAATATAAGAGACAAAGTGGATTGGAGTCATATATTTAGAACCAAAATAAGAGTCAAATGGGGTCTTATATTAAGGACCGGAAGTAGTATATTATAAAATTTATCCTTTTATGTAATTATCATATTAACTTATGTTCTTTTTAGTAATTTGTACATATAAAATGTACTTCTGATGACAACTATTCAAACACTCTTATTTTATCAAAATCACTTTTTTTACAAAATCTACTCTTCCAAAATTAATTATGAAAAATAACTTTTTTTCTAGAAACTATTTTCCAAACCATGACTTGATTTTATCTAAACACCCCGTAAGTGTTAAATCGATCGGAAATTGAATCGGTAAAAGTTAATGATAAATTGGTTTGATGATTACGTTGCTATTGATCCTATTTTTTCTAATTTAACTCTTAATATCTTGATTACTATAGGTTTCAATGAATTTTAATGATGATTTTGGTATCAATAATTATTAATTTTGGTTATTAAGGAATAATAAATATCAAAATATTGTTTATTAGTATTTTGTTATTTTCAATTATATTATATTATTTTAATATGACTGATTTGATTCTTGTCTGATTTATTGACCTTTAAATCACTATCTCAACTAATTTAGTGTCTGATCTAGGATTTTTTGTTCTTTAGTTACATAGAACCATCAAGAATGAGAAGCAAGAAAGTTTGATGACAGTTATACGTGATAACAACAGTGGGCCTTATAAGACAACAACTAACGTTTATAAGGAGATTTTTTAGAATCTAATTGCATCATGAGATTTAGATGGATCACATAGGGAAAAGCAAGCAAGCATACTCTATTGTGATACTGGGGTGATCTAATGAAATGTGTTATTTTGAAATATTTGTTTAGTATTCTGAAATATTTGTTTAGTGTGGAAAGTATGAATTCCTCTCTTGATCGGAATTGTAATGAAATGGCTCCAAATTTACAAGCTTTCCAGGCATCATAGGGAAGTAAATGCTGTGACTGCTAGTTTAACAGTTAACAATAATATACATTGCAGGTAACTTCACATTCAAAATGGCTAATCTGGCAATAGGAAAGCTTCCCAATAAGTGAGAGATTGTAGACTCGTAGTTTCAATCCTACTTCTAACCTCATCGTTAGCACCTACCTTTAATTCCGCCCCCCCGGGGGGGGGGGATGAAAGATGTTTCTGAAGCACTAAGACAATTTATTCCATGAAAGTAGAATCTTAGCACAAGTTGCAACAGGAAAAATTTAAGTGTCAAAACACTTACCTAGTAAGATAACACGGAACACATTACACATTCATCAGAACCTAGGTGAGAAACCATATCATTTCAACGACTAGATCAGAGATAGACTTCACGTATTGGCTCAGAGAACAGTTCTGAAAATCTGGGCAAGATTTTCTGGAACGTTGCTCCTACAGATGCTTGGCCAATATAGATTCAACCACACCCTGAGCAATGGGATGATACAACTCGCGAGCTTCTGAGAAGAGGCGTTTGGCAAAAACTTTATCTTCTTCCTTTCCACTGCCTTGCACCAGTGCAGTGTAAAGAGGACGCAGATACTTCATCCTTCCAATTGCTTTCAACGTTTTCTCCACTTCATTATAGTAATCTCTGCATCCAATTGCAATAGCACGTTGAAGAAATGCCACCTTCACCTCATAATCTTTCGATTCAGATAGCCTGTAGCGTGAATCCAGGGCTGCGAGCTGCAAAACATCAAGTTATACAATTGTTATTGTAGTGACATATGAAAGGAACAAGATATCTATACATATTGAGTAGAGGGATATATATATATATATATAAAATTATTAGCCTTTGCTTTAACGGCTCATAAATACAGAATATCCTAATCCTTACAATGGAGGGGTAATATCGACATAACGTGAGAGGGTTCTAACTCATTTAGAAAGATGAGCAAGTTCTGACAGGATATTCAACAAACGTACTTGATGACTGATATTAGTTCTGTACAATAAAGAAGATGAGGGTTCAATCTTAGTAAATAGGTTTGGTACATGAGATATATAAGGTTTAGTGTCAATGTATTAGCATATGCAATAAAATAGTCACACCATTGACAAGTCATGAACAACGCAACTTACCTATCAGACTGTGCACAATACACAAGAAAACATGTCCAGGTTAATGAAATAATCTCTTAAGAGAACTTGTTTTTGAAATTCAAAACATATCCTACCTTGACTTTTGACCTCCAATGTCTTGAGGCCTCATCCGTGATTTTAAGAAGGAGGGGGGGGGTTGTGAAAGGAAAACTAAAGCCTACCTATTTGATCGATGGCGCAATCATATTTTAATCCCCATCAATCAATCACAAAGCACTAAATTTGACACTCGTGGCGGATGTACCTCTGAGCCTCTAGCAGAATGAACCTATGACCTACCTATAAAATCCTATAGGAATGCAGTGTTAAACTAGCAGCAGCTTCACATTCAATAAAGCAACCCCCTCTCTGTTCTGTCCTTCACTTTAAATTTTCAAGAGCAAATTGTTTCCATTACCATATCCAACTTTGTCAACTAACATGCATGGCGGCTCAACATTGTATTAAAATACTAAAACTGATGGTGTTCCAAACCAAAGCTGCCTAACCACATCAAACCAAACCAAGCTAAGCTAAGGGAGGGATAGAGAGGTAGAAAGAAACAGATAAGTACTCTTGACCTGAAATAATTAGACTGACAATCAGCTCGTTAATCGCAGCGAGCAGATCATCCATATAAGCAGTAATTGTAAATAAAACACCATATTTTATGTAAGAATGGCCATTCATGGTCAAAAAAGAAATATAACCTGAGAAGCATCAATGGATTTTGGCAAATTTTCCAAGTATAGCTCCCATTCCTGACCTTGCCACTCAGCAACTTCATCCTCCTTCGGAATCCTTCCATTTACGAACTCATTTGCCAGGGTTACAATCATTTTATAGACACTGGAATCAGGTTCATGAGCATCTGGAGGGATGCCTGTACCTTCAGTCCACAACTTTAGGTCAATCTGTTTCTCTATTCCAGGGATGTTAGCTTTCAGGAATTCAATAAATGTTTCAGTATCGATTGATTTGAACTTAAATGTAGCAATATATTTCTTCAGGAACTCATCAAAGGCAGGCCTCCCAACCTGTACATTACATGAGGAAAACAACTGATCAGATAACAATGTAGAAAGACAACCTCACAGCCATTTAAATTAGTCCTAGCGAGCCAAGCTTCTTCTAAGGAGAATTTAGTAAATGATAACAACAAGCATATGGTCTTCAAATTTAAATCAAGAACATAAGACATGTAGGTATAATAGTAAGAACTATGTTTCAGAAAATATACATAAATTAGTAGATGTATAAATAGAATGGAAACATAAATTTCAGGAATACAATTCGAAGAGTAACATTAAAGATAAAATTAAAGAAAAATACCTGGCGTTCAATGCGCAATAAGAACTGGAAACCCTTTTCATATGGAACCTGAGAATACACATCGTCTGGGTCGATTCCTTCCTGGTTAGTTATAAGCTTAGTAAATTCCATATTATCTTTGAACCTCTCAACCTCATCATTTAAACCCCTCCAACCAATTCCAATGTTCAATGCAGCCCTTTTCTCCCCTTGCACAACCTCCACAATTCTCCTCTCTGCATAAGTAGTGAATCCCTAAAGCCAAATTAAAAATAATTCATCATTACAGATTTATTTTCGCAAACCAACAAAAATTGTAATTCCGAAACAAAACTATCTATGATGATCTGCAAGAGGAAATGACTTTTTATTAATTTGAACAATAATGAAATCAAAGACAAAGACCTAGAAGCTTGCTCTGGCCATACTACAAACAGAATACAAGCTAAAAGAATGCAAAATAAAAGAATATATGGTAAAGGAAAAATTGTTCTTATTGTGTTATCTCATGCTTATATGATTTTCAATTAATCATAGGAACCAAGAATTCCAACGTGTAATTAAAGCTGCAGATAAACATAAGAAATTTAATTTATAAAAAAAGGAAAAATCTACCTATATTAATATTTGCAGGGGACTATTTGGTGTTTTGGTATGATTTAAAATTAAAAAAAAAAAAAAAAGAATCTCAATATAAAAAGCATAGCAAGTCCGTAAAAATCCTTTTCCTCCGTTTAACACATCCACTCTCTCAGTTCCAGGTGATATTCTGAATGAAAAAACAGAGCACACCAGGCCACTTAATTGAGGTTAGGTTAAAAAATTAAGGTACCATAATAGGCATAACTAGTAAAGAAGGGAATCATTTCGTTTTCCACTAAGGCAGAATCTCATTAAATTGCAAGGAAAAAAAAAAAACAAGATGATAGGCATAACTTCAATAAATGAAGGGAATCTACAAAAGACCATATCAAGTAAAGCATTTTAACTAGTATTAGATGCTAATAGAAGTAAACAAGAAGATGAATGTGTCTATACCTCATTCAACCAAAAATGTTCATTGGTCTTGTTAGTGATCAAATTCCCTGTCCAACTGTGAGCAAGCTCATGAGCCACCACCTGTGCTCCACTAGCATCCCCCTTGATCACTGTTGGCGTCAAGAACACCATCCTTGGATTCTCCATACCTCCATATGGAAAACTAGGCGGTAATACCAACAAATCAAAACTCTCCCATTCATAATCCCCAAACAGCTTCTCCCCTTGCCTTATCATATCCTCAGTACCTGCAAACTCTCTAGCAGCACCATCCAACAGTTCCGGCACTGCCTCGGCATAAACCCTAGTCCTTGGTCCCACCTCCCGGTTCCCAATTTCCCCAACTGCAAATGCAAATAGGTATGGAGGCACTGGCTGCTCCATCACAAACTCCTCAACCACCCTCCCTTGTGCACACCACGATGAATTCCCGCAACTCAGTTCTTCTGCTTCGTTGTTAACTGGACGACGTCGTTCCACGTGCCGAGCAGCCATCACTGCCGATAACTGATCCGGGATGTTCAGGCGCGCGGAGTAGCATATTCGCACAGCAGGAGTGTCCTGACATGGAAACACCGAACGTGCGTGAATGGCCTGGCATTGTGTATACACAAAAGGGTGGGCTTTGTTAAATGTTTGAAGAGGGTTGAGCCATTGCAAGGCTGAAGAAGAAGGTGAGGTAGTGTATGTGACCAGAAATGAGGAATGGTTGGAAAGAGAAACGGATAGTTGACGACCCTTGATCGGGTCATTTTCAGAGAGTGAAAATGGAATTGGGGTTTTAGATTGCGGGTCGATGATGGAGTCGATTGAGAGAGAACGAGTGTCGAGGAAGAAAGGACCAGAGTAAGGGTTTGTGAGGGAAATCAAAGCAGAGGCATGGATTATGGAGGACGAAAAGTCGAAGTAGAAAGAAAGTGAAATGTGGGAAGTGAAGGGTTGAGTCGAGTCAGTGAAGGAGTGAGGATCAACTGGCGCCATTGTTGATGATTTGCTCAATTGCTGCCACCTGAAACCTCCGAAGTCGCATTATATAAAGCGAATGGTACGAGGAAAGTCCGAATACAGAATCGAATTTGATGCTTAAGGAGATTTTTTTTTTTATTACTTTATCTTGATTTGTTTTTACAACTTTAGTTACATTTGCTTAATTGCTTAATGGGGGCAAGATGCTTTTCTTTCTTTCCTTTTTTTTTTTTTTGTTTGGCCTGAGCTTTTCTTTCCTTCATGCATATAATAACAAAAGCAGCTTCCCCCTGGCCTTTGTTATGAATAATGGAAAGGAAGTTGGCCCCCCCCCCCCCAAAAAAAAAAAAGGGAATAATGCCATGGAAACTAGAAGGAAAGAATAGAATTCGGTGTTCCTAGAAATTTTTTTTTGGCCAATTTGTTTGTCGTTAATTAAAGATATCGAAATCGCACAATTACTGATAAAGCCCAAAGTGTTTGCTCCTACCATCCAGTTCAAATGGTAAAATGACAAGGTAAAAAAGAAAAAAAAAAGTAAAATGACAAAAATAAATTGGTCTTGCTTAGACTTGTTAATAAAGGCCATTGTGTCGGGGAAAAAAAGCCAGCGGGACTAAGGGTTTGTTTGGTTTGAAGGAAGGGAGGAGAGGATTGAGAAGGTTTTAATACAACTTTGTTTAGTTTGATTAAAAGAGAGGAAAAGGGAGAAATATTTAATGATCTTTTGTTTAGTTAAAAGAAAAAAAGAAAAAATAGTAATAATCAATTTAACATTTTAGTATTTTATCCTACATGTTAATTTATATTTTTACTTATATATTATATAAATTAATCTACATCTTAATTAAAATAATATAGTTTAATAAAAATTCAGTCATGTCATGTTAATGTGTGTATTAAAAAATTGATACAATAATTTTTTATTCTAATTAATGTAATAGTATATTTTAAATAATCAAATTAACAAATGTTATATATGCTCTAAAAAATGAAATTTTTGTTCTCTTTTGACTATTCACATAAAAATTAATTAATTTTTATAATAATATAATCTTTCATTATAATAATATTTTTTATTTTAAATTAAGTTTCATTATAATATATTTTTTAATTATAATAATATATACTTTTTTATTTTATATTATTATAAAATTTTATTTAAAATAAATTTTATAATAATATATTTTATAGGCATCAATGAAATATCACAAGAACAAATAAAATCAAAATGGTTCAAAACGAAGGGAAATCAGGGCAGAGGCATGGATTATGGAGGACGAAAAGTCGAAATAGACAGAAACTGAAATGTGGGAAGTGGAGGGTTGAATGGAGTCAGTGAAGGAGGGACGGTCAACTGGCGCCATTGTTGATGGTTTGTCCAATTGCTGCCGCCTGAAACCTCCGAAGTTGCATTATATAAAGCGAATGGTACTAGGAAAAACCGAAGACAGAATAGAATTTGATGCTTAGAGATTTTTTTTATTATTTTATTTGATTTATCTTACAACTTTAGTTATATTTGCTTAATTGGAGCAAGGTGCTTTTCTTTCTTTCATGTATATAATGACAAAAGCAGCTCCCCCCATGGCCTTTGGTGTGAATAATGGTACGGAAGTTGGCACCAAAAAAAAAAAAAAAAGAATAACGGCGTGGAAGCTAGAAGGAAAGAATAGAATTCGATGCTTCTAGAAATTCTTTTTTTTTTGGGCGAATACATTTGTCATTAAGTAAAGATATCAAAATCGCATAATTGCTAATAAAACCCAAAGTTTTTGCTACCACCATCCAATTCAAATTGTAAAATCACTATTAGGAAAAACTTTTTTTACATCGCCTAATTTACACCATTTATTATGACAACAGTGTAAAACATGACCGATAGTGGCACTTTTGTAATTACTGATAGATTTTTAAAGCGGTTTCGCATACAACCAGTGTAAAATATACTTTTTATACTAGCTGTTTGTGTAATTAGTGTAAACAGTATTAAAAATATATTTTTTAAAAATAATATTTACAAGTTTTAAGACTAGTTTCTCATACATTTGGTATAAAATATATTTTCTACACCAGATATTTATTACAATCGGTGTAAAAAGTTTTAAAAATATTTTTTGAAAAAAAATATTATTTACAAGCTTTCAAAAGGTAATTTAAAACCTAAAGGTTTAACCTATTTCATTTTGTAGCCACCTTTTCTGAACCAAACTTTATTCTCTCATAATCTTTCTAAGTTCTCTTACAATCTCCTTTATATGCTTCATTCACCAGTAACCTCAGTGCTAGTCCTCTTCTTCATGCTCTTCTCCTTTGTGTTGTGACATCTTCTTTGTGTTCATCTCATTTATAGCACGTTATCTTCTTCATAATCATCATCTTCTTCAGGTTCATTGATTTCTCCATAATCGTCAGATAGAGATCTATACTCACACCATCTAGATTTGTGTAACACCTTCACTTTATACCAAATAACTAATCACTTAGAAGAAAATAGAATCATATTTGATGGCCAAAAGTTTGAAAAATTTAATCTTGAAAAATTTTGTTTTTTGGGTTACTATTCATAGCAACCTATAATTTGGTCAAATTTTGAAAAATAATAAATAATTTTAGAAAAATCAAAATTGAGTGATTCCAAGTTCTATTGGAAGCTATTTAGATTGTCTTTTGACAAAAAATAATTTCTAGATGAATTGTCTTTAAATTCAAGCCCAGATTAATATTCGAAAGGTACTGTTTATTTGATCTTTTTCAATTTTTCAGTATTTTTGTCTAACTTTGGATAGACATAACTTCTTGTACAAATGTTCATTTGAGACGTGTTACCACTCATTTTAAAGAGAAAAATGAGATCTATTTTCAAGTAAAATTTCATGACCTAGCTCACTTGATTGGTCAAAAACACGTTGGTCAAAGTTTGACCCTAAAATGTTGACTTTTATCACTTAATTGCTTTGCCTCTTCATACTTTAGCTCTAGCTTGTCATGCCATTCATTTGACCATATAATTGGGCATAATAGCATACTTTGGCATATATTTACATCAAAATATAGCATAGGGTCATTCAAAAGAGATTATTTTACAAATATCCATATAAATTCAAGAAAGGATCAAAGTCATATAAAGTTTCATAACATTTATCATTCCTTCATATATTGGTCACCTCCTTGCCTTTTCCCTTTGATGTTGTAGGCCCTAAGGTTTGTTGGAACATGGGAGGGCTAAAATTCATAGGAATCTTAGTAGCATAGCATCACATTTACAATGTCACAAAAGCACGGTATTACATGCCACATGAACTAACTATCACATGCTTTAAACTTCATTTACATGCCATGGAAAGGAAATAACATGTTTCTCATTCATAGCACTCAATATTGCATAAGCCAAGTTATTACATGTATGGAGTTATACACCACATAACATCATAATCTCATCCATATCATGGCATAGCAATATAGCATAAAACATAGTAATAAATACAATGCAAGGTAACATTAAAATGATAATTGCTAGCTACCTCTTTAAGGCTTATCCTTTGTCTTCAGTCTCTTTCCCTCAGCAAATTCTCCCTCTCTTTTGAAGCAAAACCTATTGGTAATACAATAGGGCACACACATTATTACTTCATTTATCATAATAACTCTTAATCCCTTTTACTTGATTTTTAGGTTATTATTCCTAGGTTTAATTCCTTAATTCCCTTGAGCTATTTCCACATAATTTTTCATGTAGGATTCAAATATCAATTTAAATTTATGAAAATCCAATTCCTCACTATTGATCTTCATTTGGCCAAAACATAGGGAAATTGATTTCAAAATTTTCACTTTCAATTTTAATGCTTCTAATTCTAAGCTTTCTTTCTTGGTGTTTCCTACACCATGTCATTATTTAAACACATTGAAAGCATCAAATTGAATTGAATCCAACTCTAACCTCTACTTCTCTTCTTAGCTGAAACATTGTTTAATGTTTAAGGGTTGGATTTTCTTTCCAAAACTCAGGCATAACCAATCAATTTCTACCATTTTTAAGTGTCTAATCAATGTTTCAATCTCTTAGCTAGTTTCTCTCTATTTTTTTCAAAAATTTAGCAGCATTTTTCCTTCAAAAAATGGCTACCAAATCAGCAACAAAACATCATAAAAACAGTCCCACATAACATCACAAGAAGCATAGAAGCTTACTTTGATGATTGCTTTAGCTTGTGTGTACTTTCTCTTTGTAGAGTTTGCTCTTCTCTCTCTTAAATTCCAAGAACAAAAAGGTCTCCCTTAAAGTCCCTTCTTGGTTGAAAAATGTGAGTGTGGGAGGGGGCATTTATAGCAATTTGATTAACTCTTTACCCTTGAATTTTAACAAAATTACAAGGGTTAGGTAGACATATCTTAGCCCTCCAAATTTTTTTCAACAATAATGGAAAAAATGGACAATCTTCAAGAACATGATCTTGTCACATGTCCATATGATGTCATGGTGATGATGTAACATGCTTATGTCATGCCAAGATTTACAAGCTTAATCTTTGTTAACTTCCTTAATCATCATGATTAACCCCTCTTAATCATATTCTAGAAACTTCATTTTATTTAAATATTTTTCTTCTAAATGGGTCATTTTAGGTGTGATATATGGGCCTTTTGGGATGGAAATTTTTTTTTTAAATTTACATTGCATTGAGTACCGATACAGTGTTGGATGAATTTTTCCTGTATCCTATCTAATTTACTATCTCAGAAAATTCATCTCAATGCACCATTAATCTCCTCTCAATGTAGGAAAGTTTCATGATTTTTTTCAAAATTTAATTCACTCTGGAATCCTCTAAATTCCATTTCCAGTGAAATCGGCATTTACCGACAATAATTCTGCTTTGAATATTATTAAAGCTAATCTCCTTGTCATTTGAAGTCAGGAATAATTTTATAAATTATGATAATCCTCTAAGAAAGTTTTTCATCTTTTTCTCAAAATTATTAAGACCTCTAAATATTTTAAATAATTAACTTTTGTTACTATCTTAGTGTAACAATTTTTTTTTGAAAATATAAAAAATTCTATATTTATTTGTTTTCCTTTCAATAATTCCTCTGGAGTCTCAAACACTCTTTCTTGACTCTTAATTCTATTTTACATGATTTTTTAGAATTTTTGGGAATTTCTAACCTGACTTCCCAATCAGATATTTCTTTAACCGATATTTTAAAAATATTAGTCTGGCCACTATTTGGTTTCAGTTCAAAACTTGTAAGAACTACATCCCTTCTACACTAACTGACCCTTGGTCTATTTTATTTTTCTTATCTATTGGGTTGAAATCTTTAAGATGTTACAATCTGTGCTCATGACATCAAGATTTGTGCTACTCATCGCATCCAGATCTGTGCTATCTGAAGCTCTCATTGTGTTATCATCTAGATGCTTATATTTTTCTAGATCTATACTCGTCTTCATCACCCCTATATTTGTTTTAAGTTTATACTCTTTCTCTATTTGTCTGTTTAATGAATAATTTTGAATTTTGTTTAACAAATACGTATATTTATTGTATGAACCAATATGAATCAATATCATTTCTAGAAAACTTGGCTAGTTTTTTTATGGTCTCATTAAATCTGATTTTTTTACTCTTACGTTATTTCTTATTTGTTGGATTGTTTGTTGCCATGTTATGAGCTTTGCATTTTATGATCACAGTTTCTTCTGGGATTTTATCATATCTCATAAAATTACAAATCTTTTTTATTTTTTATTTTTTTGTTTTATTTTTTACACCGGTTGGGATAATAACCAGTGTTAAAAGTAACATTTTCTACACCATTTTTGCAATCAGTGTAAAAAGATTAGACTTTTAATATTACTTATTTCTACACTGGTTATCTTTTGGATGTCAAATGTCCACTCTAACTGATGTAAAAGACCCTTTTTCTAGTAATGAATGACAAAAATCCTTTACAATTGGTCTTGCTTAGACTTGTTAGTAAAAGCCAACCGAGCCATTAAGGGTTTGTTTAGTTCTAGGGGAAGGAGAGGACGGTGGGAGAGATTTTAATTTAACTTTGTTTGGTTGGATTGAAAAAGGAGAGGGAGAAATATTTAATAATCATTTAGTTGGTTCAAAAGTGGAATTATCCTACATGTTAGTTTATATTTTTATTTATATATTATATAAATTAATTTACATCTTAATTACAATTATATAATTTAATAAAAATTCACTCATGTCATGTTAATATGTATATTAAAAAAATAGGTGCAGTAATTTTTTTATTCTAATTAATATAATAATATATTTTAAATAATCGCATTAACAAATATGTTCTAAAAAAATGAAAGTTTTGTCCTCTTTTGACTAATCACGTAAAAATTAATTAATTTTATAATAATATAATTTTTCATTATAATAATATTTTTTATTTTAAATTAAGTTTCTTTATAATATATTTTTTAATTATAATAATTTTTATTTTTTATTTTTTTACTTATAACAATATATTTTTCATTTGAAATAAATTTTATAATAATATATTTTATGGGTGTGAACGAAATATCATAAAAACAAATAAAATCAAAATGGTTAAAAAATTTGGCTCCTTTCCAAAAAATACTCTAATTTTCAGAGAATTAAGACAGGGATAGTGGAGGGAGTCCTGGGAAGATTTTGGCTCCCTTTTCTCCCAAAATTTCTATCCAAATGATGGGAGGGGCTGATTTTTCTTTTTATTCCCCACTCTTTTCTCCAACCAAATAGGCCATGGAAACTAATCTTTGACGGGCTATGAACTAAAATGGTTGATCCTTTGGAACTCAAGTATAATACAATCATCCTATTATTAAAACTTGGCCCACAAATATGTGGGTTCACAGCCAGCTTACGAACTTTCATTTCATGTTATCAAACTTCAATTTTTTATGTTATTTTAAAATATAAAAAAAAGATAAATTAGTGAAAATAAAGTGTCAAATTATAGTGTTCAAAGTTTCAAAACTGATATAAATCAAACTTCTAGCAGTATGAACTATTGTCCAAGCTCAAAAAGAACCAAAATTAAATAAAGCAAACAAAACAAAGATGTAAAAGCCAAATAGCTAAAGATTAACAATATTAACATGATTATTATCTTTATCTTCACCTTCATCTTCGTCTGCATTGTTATCAAGTAGGCTTTTTTTTCAATTATCATTATCTAAAATAAAACCATGCAACAATATTTAGGTCTTTTTTCTAATCAAGAGGTTTGAATAGTCACACTCACAACGAAGAGCAATGAATGAATTAATAGTGATAAATTATTTTAATAATTAGTTAAGTTTTAATACTAAAAAATAGGTGAGTTTAAATGAACTGGCCCTTAATCTTAACAAGCTAGCCTTTTTATTTATGAATCTTAAAAGACTATTTTTTTTAAACCCAATTTTTTTAAACTCTCTAAACCACTAAGCCGACCCCTATTTAAGTAGGTTTAAACGAGGCAGACTAACGGACTCAGTCTGATCTAATAGATCTAGTCCTGCTTGATTAATAATTAGCAAAATTATATATAACTCTTCTAAACTTTATATTAAGTATAGGGAACTGTTTATAATAAATCACACTAAATCCTTACGTTTATGAAGATAACTCGTCTATTAGTAATTTCGTTTATTACTTATCTGCTTATATATTAAATTTAGGGATATGTATATGCATATAACTCAGCTCGAGAGATTAATATACACACAAACATATAGTTTAAGGAAGTGTAAATTTTTTTTTTTAATACTCCTATCCTAACTCTTCTCATAGGAAGAACTACTCATGCCCACTCACCTACCCAAGTACAACACACACACACACTCTTTTCCCACGCCGTATGGGGATTGATTTCCCAACCTTCTCAAACAAAAGGGGTGGGACTATGCCATTCGAGCCAAGGCTCATTGGCTAAGGAAGTGTAAAATTGATGGTCGGGGTTTATAATATAGAGATGAAATGGATATTTATTATTAAGTTCTAAAGATTAAGTGGGTTATTTGTATATAATTCAAAGTTTATGAGTTTTATGTAACTTAGACTTTATTAAAATGCCTTGCCCAATTTATAAATTTCGTCTTTCATGACTTATTGAAAAAATTTGCAGAAAATTGATACATTTAATCCCTAAAATATTTACTTTAGCGGAAAATCATCAAATATTTACAAAAAGTCTTATATAATTTACAAGAGGTCCTACTTAATTTACAAAAACAGTCTTATTTTTTCTACAACTAGTCTTTCATGATTTACAAAAAGATCATGCACAATGTTTAAAAATTTGGATTTCAAAAAAATTTTTAGTGCCTGTTTGGATCACGTTCTCATATCCCAAAAGCACTTATCCATATAATTTGAGATAAAATTCATCTCACATACTTACCTCACATTTCGTAAATCACTATCGAAACATCTTGGATAATTTATAAAGTCTTATTTCACAACAAGGAAAAAAAATTTGAAAATTCACTTACATAAGCAGTGCAATATTTCTTTTGGGCTCTGTAACATTTTAGTGGGCCTACTCTCAACCTTTTCATCCCTTCCAATTTATTTGCACGTTTCAATTGACTTAAAATGTTAAAAAAAAATAATTATAATATTCTAAAAACTTTTGAATTATAGCCCTTTCTATAATAAATTGCATGAAGGAAAAAAGTCTTATTACTTTCTTTAAAAAGTAGTGAATATGTGTTTTAACCTTTTAGTCCTCAAATCAAAACTCAAGTTGAAGATGTGCAAACAAAAAGGATACTTGAAAAGTTAAAACACATCTAGACATGTAAGATAAAAAATTTTGGGCTTTTCTGTGAAAAATAAAAAAGACATCATGATCGACTTGTCTGATATTCTTTACGGGGAAAACTTATTTATCGTGAATTAAAGAGCATCTTATTCAACCACTAAGAAACATGAAATAATTAAAGCCAACTCCGATACGATGCTACCAAATGAAAGAAAAAAAATAGAACAAAGATAAAGATAAATCAAAGCTTATTAAAAAGAGTTTTCATATCATCATAACATCAACAAACATTTCAAGTCTTCAACTTAGTTCATGCATAGGCACACTTAAAATCCATGATGTTATTAAAGACAAGTCTACAATAATTAAGCATACCATCATCTGTCTGATAACAACAATTAATATAGGTCACATGGAGTTTCACACATACTAGATAGTAAGTCTTTTTATATAGTTCCCCCATGAAAAGGTCTTAAAATCATGATAGTTATGAAGCACAAGTATCAAACCAACACCGTAACAGGAAATTAAAAGATGATTCTCCCAATGAGGACAACTAATAATAAAGATGATTGTTGGAAGAATTAAGGAGCGAGGTTGTTCTCCAAATGCCTTCACCAAAAGAGTTGAACTTTGTCATTATTTTTCTTTATTTTCATCAATTGCATGTCGCACAAATTGTCCGCGGACTCGAGGCCTTTGTTCTGCTAGTTTCTTCCTGCTTTGGTAGCGAACCTAAATATTTCACAAAAGGAAGAATAAGCTTTACAAGTCAAACTCAATTATTGTATAATATGAGACATAAAAGAAAAATGATAAAAGTGGTGTTTGAAAATGCTATACTAGCTATATAATAATATCATTATCTTGCACTACCACTAGCTATATAATAATATCATTATCCTGCACTACCTATATATATTTTAATATTGGTATTTGTTGCATGAAACCTCTAATTATTAGATGCCTATAAAGAGCAATGCAATTGAAAAAAGTGGTTAACAAAATAAATATGTAGAATTTTTAAAAATTTCTCTTGAAGATACCCTTGCATCTCAATAATGAAAGCATATAGCCAAAGGGTTTGTTTTTATCCTAAATGTCTTTGTTTTCTAACTTTTTTCTATTAATCGCACATATTAAGAGAGGTTCCATGAACAGAATAATATCTGATGCAAATGAATAAAATAGGTACTACAGGAAACCAACATGCATTTGTTAAAATAAGTAAATTATTTTTTTTAATCTTTATAAATTAGTTATTTAACTTCTACATTTAGGCTCGAAGAGATTAATATAATAGTAATGATAAGATAGATTTATCATTTACCCTTTTCTCAAAGCATCTCTCTTTCCTCTTTTGACGAAACTTGTTCAAAGCCACCTCTCTTTGTGCAAATCGATTCTGGATAGTTATATTTGGAGCCTCAAGTCTTATTAAACTAGTTGTGTCCTCTTTCTCAGCTATTCTATTATTATCATCATGCTCCTGGAAGTTTCCTAGTTTTCCTGCAACATTATTCCCTGGATCAACATTGCTCCCATGGTGACTCTTAGAGGCACTCCCATTCCTAGTTGAAGATTCATTAAGAGATGGCATAGCAGCTGTCTTAATTTGTAGAGACTGTTGACTATTTTGGTTGAGTAATTTAGGAGTAACCATGTTATGCATGTGATGATGGTGATGATAATGGTGGTGATGGTGATGATGCTGCACTTGCATATGCTGCTTATCACTATTTTCTGCTAAAAAAAAAAAGAAAAAGGAAAAAGAGAGAACCATGTCAAATAATTATATTTATTAATCATTATGACCAATAATTGCAAGTAACTTTTTCAACTTGGATAGTAACCAACTCCTATATCACAATATAAACACACAAGGAGAAATCACTATCAGGTGCGAAGGAAATACTATTATAATTAATAAAAGGTCTTAATAACAAAAAAGTAGCATTGATTTTATTGTCATTACAAAGTATTTATAATTTTTCCTAGACAAGATATATAAGTAAACAACATTATTGTACAATTTATTATTTAGAGGATACTTATGTTTATTGAGCATAACTATATAATTATAAGTACTATTGTTTTGTGGTCTAATTTCAGATTTTAAAGCAATAAAGTAATATCAATCTCCCCATATATAAACCTTTATGATTTGAAACAATATTTTTTATACTATATTCACATAATTTCTCCTAAAATTCATGCATTTTAACCCATTTTAACAACAACATATATGACAAAATATATCCACATTTCTTGAAAAATATTTCTGATTTAGTTTTGTTTATTCCAACATAATACATATGCTTACCTTGAGCTGCATGTTGAAGAGACATGTTTTGAAGAGGATGGAGGGATGTTGAAGATGGCTGGATACATGTGATGGCTACTTTTTGTGTTGGCTTATTAATGGTTGTAGATGGTTTGGTGAAATTATTATTTGAACTGGAATCTTGTTCATAGTTGTTATTACTTCCATTGGAAGGTAGATTATTGGGAGGCATGCTATTAAAATAAGTTCTCGTGGCTTGCACTGATTCTGTTTTTGCTGCCTCTGAGCTATTATTAATGGGTGAACAGCTTCCAACATTACCTGTTGGACCTTGATGAGATGCTGAGTTGTACCTGCACACACACACATATATATAACAACAATATTTTCAACTTTTATTATCTTAGGGAAGATTATGATTTGATGATTGTGAATTTGGAAGAAAAAATAAACTTTTTGAGAGAATAAGCTTTTACTATCAAACATATCTCATGATTCCCACTTTATTAACATATTGATTACTCATCAAGTCTTAAATGTAAAAATTAATTAGTTTAGAAGTTTGTTTTGATCCTGAATATAATACTTCAATTCAATTTTGTCTTTCCAAATTTATAATTTTTCACAAATTGTATATCACTATTTTTTTGGAATGAAATCAAAATGTGATATTAATAATAACATGAGATTACATAGTATCTACAGAAAAAGTTTTTTCTTTTGTTAGTAATGGTTTACAAGATCATGAAAAAGGGAAGGGTGATTTGAGAAAATGTCTTCAAGTTGTATATCTAGCCAAGTGACAAATTGTTGATCAACAATATATCCCTATTGATTTCACACATATAGCAAGTTTCTATCAATAGGGATATATAGTTTCCTATGAAAGTCATTAGATGATGTATTTTAGAAAACCAACATATTTTTTTCACATATAACTAGCTTAAAAATATCCTTAATATCTATAAATTAGTTATCTAGTTCTTACATTAAAGATTAGCAAAAAAGAGTAGATTATAAGTCCATAAAAGAGTTAAGATACAAATTTGCCTCTTAAGTTTTTATTCGGGAGCACTAGGCACTCTAAAGATATTTTGAGTGCAAATTTGTTTTAAAAGTTTAAAATCATAGCATTGTTGCTTCTACAATTAAAATGTTAACAGTCAATATTTTTATTTAATAAAGGGCAATATTGTTACAATTTTAAACTTTTAAAGTAATTTTGCACCCGAAAAAACTTTCGGATACCTAGTACTCTTGAGCAAAAACTTCTGAAACAAATTTGCTTATTAGCCTGTCAATAAATTTAAGTGAGGATCTTGAGGTACATCTATAGAACAAATGAAAAAAATACCTTTTAAGAGATAATTCAATTCATAAAATCACCCAAAATGATTTTTTTATGAAATTTTTATATTAATACGCATACCTTGAGAAAGCAGAATGATGTGATTGCTTTAAGACATTGTGATCTTGTACACTACTTCCAAGATCTGCTGCTGTCCCATTCAAACTCTTTGAATTGAACTCAAATGAAAGCAATTCCTCCTTGTTTCCATATGTATTCTTATGATCTTCTACATTATTAGAGACCATTCCATTTGGGTTCTCCAAACATTGTATTTCTAAGATAGGATCAGAGTTAGAATTGATGTTAATTTCAATACTTGCTGGACCACCAATCGCTTGATTTTTGTATTCTCCAACTAATTCTTTGGCAGAGCTATATTGCTCTACTTGTTCCTTTTCTCCCTTCTCATAAACATTTTCCTTTTCATTAGAGCTTTTATTATTGTTAAAAGCATCAAAATTTGATGGAATTTCTTCTCGTTGTCTATAAGGTTGCAATGTTGGGGTTGATCTAGCTGTTGTCATCTCCAAATCTATGCTTGTCACCATGTTCAATGCTAGAAAATACCACATAATTTTTAATTATCACATTTAAATCCACAATATGAACACCAAATGAAAAAAATTAACTAATTAACAATATTTATTATAGTTTAACTTGTACCACTATTAAAAGTATATTTCCATTACCATTACTAGTTGAAACATGAAACTATTAGTTTAACCACAATGATATTTGTAACACAATAAAATTGTTCAAAGTCATTAAATAATTGTAATTAATTCAATACTTAGACAATTATTTATAATAAATTTAGATAAAAATATACTGGCCAGGTTAAAGCATTAGTTTATGCACCACATAGGCCATAAATCATGAATCACAAATATGAAAAACTAATATTTAGTCAATTCAAAATGGTTTGAAACATGGTTTATTTAAAACAGAAACTCAAGTTATCTAATATCAATTTTGTGGTTAAATAGTACATAAGGTTCATATAGTTCTGCTTGAATCATAACATAGTCTAAATGTAACTTATTTTTAAGTGAAAAAAAGTCATTCCTAAAACGGAATACTACATATCTTATTTAATTATGAATTGTACAAGTTATACAAGTAGTATGGTGAATTGTTTTACTATACTACTATAGTTAAAAATAGAAACCATTGGCAAAAAAAAAGTTAAAAATAGAAACACAATATATAAGCACATTATAAGCTTACCATTATCTTGTGTCTCACCATCTTTCATTGTAACCACTTTATTGTTGGCAATTATTTTAGGCATTGAATGTATAACTTGGGCACAAGTGCCACCTACAGGTGGATCACCTAATTGTTCCCAAAGGGACATTGGTCGTGGGCTATCAACTTCAACTGCCATCTTGGTCCAAGAACTCTGTAGAATAATGACCTAAAAATGAGTATTTGAATAAAAATATGGGGATATTAGATAATATATGTTAGATAGGGAAAGTAATTACTTTTCTTTTAGTAAAATCAATAGATCATATAGGTTTGTTGTAAGAGTGCAGAGTCAATGCTTTAAATTCTACATTGCCATATCTCATGATTTGGTCTAAATTCATATCAAATAGTTGATGAAATTATGTACTTTCAATAATTAAAAACTCATATGATGTATATCTATCGTAGCACAACATTTGCTGTTAGTATTTAAGGTACCCAACCAATATTCTATTTGATTTATATGATATTGGAAAAACATATAGTATTTGGTTTCTAGAGTTGTGATGAACTTAGTGAAATATAAAGAAATCAATTCTCATAAAGGTTCACTATCACTTTTGGCAGAAAATCAATCAAACTCAGTGAAAAATCTCTTCGATCTCTAATATTGAGCATGTATGCATTGAAGAAGCATTGACTAATGATTATTAGATTAATGTTTTGTACCAATTCTTGAGGGCAAGGATCTTTCCTAGGGGGAGTATATTGATATGAGGTGGTAGTAGTAGAAGAGTAATTAAGTAAAAAAGAAGGAGATAGCAATCTATAAATAAGGTTTTGAAGGTTGTATTAGGTGTCTATTGTAATCAAATATTACTATTCACTCTTCTTCTCCTTTTCTAATGCTAACACATATGCTAAAAAAGACCAAGATTTATCAAAATAACATATAGTGTACCTGGGTGCCACTTCCGTTGTCACTCTTATCTCTTGCATTCAATCCAATGCTACCAATGTCATCTTCATCACAATTATCATGCTTGTTGTCTAAATGTTCTCCACTTTTAGATTTCAATGACTCTTGAGTACGCACACCACTTTCACTTCCACTACCACTAGACTGATGAAAGGGCGAGTTATAAGTACAAACTTGAACAATAAAATAATTACGTTCATGTATATATTCCCATTAAAAATATGACTTTCATTAGAGAATCAAGTGGAATTGGAAGTAAACATGAATAATTGAAAGATAAACTAGTTAATTGTAGTAACTATTGTAGATCTAAATTAATTTAAATGATACGAAAAATAATAATAAAAATAATAATGATGATGATGATGATGATGATGATGATGATGATAAAAAAATTAGAGATTTAAACAATTATCTTATGCTTCTTTTAAGTGCTATAATAAAGGGAAAAAATAGAAAAAACTGACCTGAACTTATTCCATAAATCAATGAAAAGTTCATAGATAAAGTAGATCATTTATAGCAAACTCACGCTATGGCATTTCCTCCAAACATGCTGCCAAAGGTTTTTAAGCTCATTCTTTCGTAAAGGCTTGATTAAAAAGTCAATTGCACCCCTGGATAAACACTTAAATACTATATTCATAGAATCATGAGATGACATCACTGCACATAAAACTCAATAGATGAGGATTAAAAACAATCAAAGTTATGTACTTACAATTTGTCACATATGAGAATCAAATATAGATAAAGATATAGATATACTTACTAATCACAGGAATATTTTTATGCGTCTTATGACTCATAATTTTGGATAAGAGACCAATTCCTGTTAAATATGGCAAGGCTACTTCAGTCAAAACAAGATCAATATTAGTAGCAAGACCTTCAAGAATTCTCCAAGCTTGTTGACCATCTACAACTGCTTCAACTGTTAAGATACGTAAAGATGTTAGTGTTGTTGTAATATGTAAAATAATTTTGAAAAAACATTGTATGAAATTAATGAAAAATAAAAATGATTGAATAATGGAATAATATGAATGATAAACTAATTAATAAAATAATTGATGAAAAATTATATAGATATTTATAATTAGAATGACAATATTTAAATTTATCGTGAGCCTTGTTATTGCAATTCTATTAGAAAAAAGATATGATCAATAAATTAAACAAAAAAGTGTCCTAAGAATAGTAACATGCATGATCTTAGACCAATTTCATCTGAAATAAGAATAATATACAAAAAACTTCTTTATAAAAAGTTTACTTCTTAAACAAGGTTTGAAAATTAAAACCCAACCACTTGCTTACAGGATGAGAGGCCCTTTCTATAAATTATTATGACTTTGATAATAATAAAACTTTGAAGCTTGTGATGGATAAATAAGATTCTTTAGAAGCTTCAAGACTTGAAAGCTTACATAGAACAAGGTTCATATTATTGCGGAAACATTATACTACTCATAATTACATCATTGGAAAGACTAAAGAAAGCAAGTGAAGATTGGATTTCATTGATTAGATTTTTAGGAATCTTTACTTATTATACAGTTGTATGGCTTTACTCTGAAATGAACATTTCTTACATGCCTAACTGGTTTCACTTAAATATTTGAGAAATCTTAGTTTCAATCATGAAACACTTTTAGATTTAAGGTACATTTAAAATCTAATGTTTAGGACCATAGTAGTTACCCACGCTAATATATTATTTGACTACTACTATGTTAAGATTAACTAAGAAAGATTTTTGAACTGATATTATAGTTGCCTGTATATGATTAGTCATTTACTGAGTGGTTTAATTCATAGAAAAATATATTGTGAGAACTAATTCCAGGTATCTACCTTTATATAGTCAACTATATGTTATGTTGAGCTTATTGGTGAAATTATTCAACATTAGTCATATATAAGCGTATCTGTTAAAATTTGTTTGCTCTATAGAATGTTTCATTATTCATCTATTTATCATTATTCAATTCTTAAATTGACTTTAGATTTGACAAAAGACTATGATATAGACATTACAGTTGAAGTCAAATCTACAGACGCCTATTAAAAAAATTCAACTATTAATATGTTGACCATCCAGTAATGCTCCTAGAAAGATATGATTATTTGTCTAGTTGAACGCACAATCTATATAAAAGTTGCATTTAAGTTTGTAAGAACAATCCTAAGTATATTATCTGTAGAAACTCTATTGGTTGTCCAAATCATTTGTTATCTAAGCTAGCCACTCACTATAAGGCTCAACAGGAAAATGACATGAAGGATTAACTTTTTGTTAAAAGCATTAAATGCATTCAACCTTTGCCAACCTACCACACTTTATACTACTATACTCTAATAGAAACAAGCTCATGTGTCTAATGAATATATTTGAAGATCATCTATAAATAGAGTACACATTCAATGAAGTAAACAACAACTTAAGTTACCATGCTACAAAATTAATTATTTACACCCATTGTTCTATTTTTCTAAGATCCATTTTATATTTTAGTGTTTATTCATTATACTCCGTGAAAGAAATTTATAGTTATCTATTACTCATTCTCTCAATTACTCAAAATTGAAGAAATCTTGAGTGGGTTGTAATCTTGCAGAAAGTAAGGTGGAGCAGTTGAGAGAGTGTAATTGATATACCGAGGCACTAAGAACCTGTTTAATAGTAGAGATTATGATAAAATTCTTAGAAGTTCTCTAAGGATTAGACGCAAGTTAGGTGGTAGACCAAACCAGTATAAATCTTTATGTTATTCTCTTCTTTCGGTGATATTACTCTAACTCTACTCTCATTTCAATTCTTTTTATTTGAGCAAGTTTTAAATTTTTAATTATCATCCAATTCACCCTCTTTTGGATGATCTTCCTGTCTAATAGTATAACACTTATAGAAAAACTTTAACAAAATGCTTAACATATAAACAGGACACTATACTTGATAGAGTTTATTGTTTGCTCTTTAAAATTAGATTATAGCATCAATGTGATTTATGTGTAGAAGCTACATCTACTATATATTGCTCCTTTAATATTAATATCTAAGCTTCAAAATTCAAGTAGCTTAGTTAAGTAACCCTATTGATTATTCTTTTATTTTTTTATATGACCTTGTTGATTATTCTAATTTAGGAGTTTTTGGATGTCTTACATATGCACATGTTAACAATGATAAATTAACACAAAAATCTGAAAAGTATGTATTTCTTGAGTATAAAGGATGTTGATTGTGTTGTTCAAACTCTGATATGATCAAATTTATTTTAGTAGAAATGTTACATTTAATGTGGATGCATTATTGTCTAGAAGAGTTATTATACATGTTCCTTTTTCTATTGGTATAATAGATATATAGTGGGAGGAAATAAGGTAATTGTATTTTTCTAATATTCACATGGGTTTTTTATATTGTCAAAGTATCAAATGAGCTCATACACAAATCTAATACATAATATAATATTCATGCCCAACATTGTATTTTATTCTATAGCATTCTTAGTTTTCTACATGTCCTCTTTGTATTTGTCATACACCATTATATATTATGTCACTATAATACCTACTGGGGCAATGAAATGAGAGTTGATCTATTTCTTACTTAAAGTATATGTTTGTTGCTCTATGTTGATGGTATGAATATGGCTTCTCAAGACAAATCATTGATCAACAAGATAAACTATACAACTTGATAATAAGTTTAACATCGAGGACCTTAGTCATTATTGGCATAAAAATAAGCATTGATTGTAAATGTATGTTTACCAATTCAAAAAAAAAAAATTAGAGCGGAAGATTAAAAATATGTCAAGTGTTCCTCATTCTAATGCTAATAGTAGCCTTATTCATGCTATGGTATGTACTTGACAGGCTTGTATATGATTTAAATTTGGTGATAATGTATATGCATAATTATGGAAAGGATAATTATTGATATGTTGTTAAGTGTTTTTTTTTTTGTTGAGGCCAAGGTAATTATTGTTGGTAGAAGTAACTAATCCCCTCACATCATACACTTCCTGAAAGGATTTGAGTGCTAGCCATGAAACCCTTTCCATACACATTGCTACCAATTGAATCCCTAACTAGATGCTTAAGAAACCCTGTTAAGTACTATTGTTAAGTGTATCTTGTATTACTTGAAATGTAATTCTATTTTTGTTTTGGTATTTGATAAAAAAAGAAGAAGAAGAAGCTATGTTTAATAACATTGGTAATTTTATGATTCTTATTATGATAGTAATCTTTACAAATGAGTCATTTTTTACTATATTTTCACTCTATTCAATTATTATATTAGTTAGAAAAGCATCTCTATGTCCATCACTATATTGTCTCTATAACTGAAGTAAAGTATTATGTTATAAGAGGCTATTTAGCTATGAGATATCACTAGATGTTTAATTAATAATGATACGTGTCACTCGATGACTAATTAAGCACATTAATATTAAATAACTACTGTTATACCATATATATTACTTATGATTTTGTTATGAGAAAGGTACGTATACATAATAAAATCATGTATATGCTTATTATACCTTGTCTTATGTAGCTAACTTCAAACCAAGGCTAGAATTTTTATAGATGGTGCCTCAAATTCCTATGACCTGTCATGTACTCTATGGACATACTTATTGACCATGCAAAGATTTTGGGATGGACATACTTATTTTGAGATTTGTGGGATTCATATAATAATCTTTAGGTTTTCTTGAAATATTTGTATATCTAAATTTTCCATCCATATCATAAAAAAGGCATTTTATTCATTATAGCTATTATTAATTTTTCATGGTGAAATTTCGTACTTGTCCTTGTTTGTGGTTCCTCTACTCACATAGGGCTTTCTCCACATTGAATATTCTTGTGTGCTTTATGTTATTGGTCTAATTTTATTTTTCTCTAATTTCTTATTGTTTAATTTTGTGAGAATGACAACAGAGCAATTTATAAGTACAAATTCCAACTTAAGGAATAACAACTTCTCACCTGTCATTTGAGATTTTTGATAGTTATTTTTTTCTTAGAATCTCATAGTAATTCTCCCATTAATTTTTCTTAAATTTACTTAATTTCTTAAGTCCTCACAAAATATTGGTTTAGAGGAGACAGGAAACAAAGCAAACCTTTATTCCTCTTTCCATTGTCACATTTGGTAAATATATGATGGACCAAATGTATAATATCTACAAAAAGAATAGTAACATAATTTACAAACTCTATCATAAAAAAGACGTTAATTGATTAATGACAGAAATTCCATTATTAAATTCCAAGGTTAATTCACTGTTTACAATATACTATTAAGACATATATCCACTAATAAAAATAAAAAAGAAATTTGAAGAACATACAATATAAATATGAATTATAAATAATATACTGACCTTCATATCCACAATTGCGAAGTAAAGCACAGACAACATGGCGTGTTGAATCATCATTCTCAACCAATAAAACCTTCAATGATCTCACAGGCAAAAACCTCTCCCAACGAACCAAAGGCCCCTGGATTTGTTGTTTATTGCTCTTTTTTACAGCACGTACTTGATTATTGATGTTGTGATTTTGAATCTCAATAACCTCCATTTGTCTATTGTTATTTTCATCTCCATTAATATTATTTTCATTGACCCGTGACTCGTCCTCCATAGATAAATCTTGACCCTCCCCAGTAATACCACCTCTAACTTTTTGTTCATCTTGCATATGCTGATTAAGTTCTACTAGTCGTTTTGGAATCATAGAACCCTCAACATCATTTATTTGAACTAACCCCATTCGTCAAACTCAAAATGATTGATAATAATGGATTGAGTCTGTGAAAAAACCTCCTCCAATCCTAAAAGGTATTAGCTCATCCCATTGTTTCCAAAATATTATCTGCCAAGTCAAAAAATACTAATAAACAAACGCATATATATGAAACATTACTTTCTAAGAGAATAATAATAATATAGAGATAAAGAAAACATGAGTTTATGATACTAAAAATGAAATGTGAAATTAAATATGCAAATTAAACAAGTCATTGTTGCCTATCAAGGTTAACGTACATAGAGGAAACTTCAAAGTAAGGTTAATCTACAAAAACATATGTAAAATTGAACTATTTAAAGAAACACATTATCATAAATTTATCTGTGCATCTTACTTTGGCAAAGGTTATGCGAAAGAACAAGCAAAGTTAAAAGGAATGAAGGTTATGTGATTTTCATAATAATGATATAGACTCAATTCTTTTGGAGATTAGTTGACCAATTTTAAAATTGATGGTTTTGAAAATGATTGAGGATTTTTGGTTTTAAGAACTATAAACTGGATAAATATATAAATAAGATCTATACTTGAATCTAAAAATGTAAAAATTTTAGTGAATTATTCTTGATGTACTATGATGAAATTTTGCATAAATAAATGTCTTAAAGCTGTCATGTTCTTCTTAAGAGCTTCATTAGAGTCAACTTGGAAATAATAAACACGCAATGAGAGTCTTAATGTTGTAATGTTAAGTATCCCATGAGCGCTCCTAATCTCTGGCTTTTGTTTGTATATTTGTACATGCCTATGATATTTTTTTTTTGTATTCTGGAGTTTTGTTTTTTTTTATTGCTATATGTTCCCCCTTCTTCCATGATTTGTATTTAAGAACATTATAATATGAAACTAAGGTAATGCATGTTAAATCTTTGAAATTAAACTGGGTTACTAGGAAATTTATGTTTTAGGTTGAAATTTTAATAGAGATGCATAAAAGGGACAAAAAAATAACATATCATTTCTCTCATGACCCTAAATGAATTGTCATTTTGATGAAAATAATATGGCATCTCTCCTATAAGTGAAATCGTACATTTCACATAAGAAAAAAAAAGGTGGGTTAAGTTTGGGTTAAAATCGAACTTGATTAGATTAGTCAAATTGGATATAAGCATGGTCAAACCTAATAAGAATAAAATAAAAAATATTAACAAAAGTAAAATAAAATAATTATACACTTGGTGCACATCATTAAATAGTAGACAATATGTGGGGGAAAACTAGTTAGTGCGTGTACAATGGGAAATGGTGTACATGTATAATTGATAAACCCAATATTTTTCCATATCTTATGTTTAACCTTAGGCTTTTGTCACTAATAATTGATTAATTTGTCTTAATTAGGGTTAAATATTCACAAGTGATAATAAATATATTTTAGCAGTTTAATGTGTTAACTTGTGGATTTTACTGGTTTATTCTACTTTGGTACATTTATATGTGCATGTGAATTTGGATATTTGAAAATGAGAAACTAGTTAAATGTCATTCAAAGACCAAAGCTATTGTGACTTGAGGACCCAAAAACTAATTGGAGATTAGAACCAAGAACTTAAGCTATCTATTTTGAGTAGCTAAATCATCTCTTTTGCACCCTTTTAATTCCTCTCAATCTAGATTTTGTCTTGCTCTTTCCATAATTTTTTCTCATCCTCCCTATTCTTTTATTAGATGCACACATCTATTGCATTGTCCATTATCTCCATCCATCCCTATCGACATCGCAATGCAAAGGCTATAAGAAGCTTTAATCTACTTGTTCCTATCTTCTTCATGCATGGATGTACCTATAATTCCTTAGTGATGAAAACCCAGCCCAAGTTCAAAGCTATGGATTCTATACCTTTTAGTTATAATTTTACCTTCATTTGTATCTAATTTTGTTGCTGGTTGGTGGCTTGAATTCTATACTAATGGTTGTAGTGTATTCTAATTAGATACATTTATATAACTATGACTTGTATTGACTGAGTACTGGATTACATCTTTGGTTTCTCCTTAAATATATATATGTTTTGATATGCTTGGTGTAATGGATTTAAGTGCTCGTGTTGGCTTGCTAGATTAGTGGGTAGCTGAAATAGAGAATAATTTGGTATTCAATCAGTGCATGTTAGGCATCTTTAAATGTTTTTAATGAGCTAATTAATAGAGCCTATTAGATGGTGATTTATTATTATTAGGTGGTCATTTAAGTGATTTATAATCTTGAAAGAATTGCACCTCGAGAAAAATGTGAGAGCCCACCTCAAGGGAATAGTAGAACCACAAGCCTATTTCATTTTGACAATGTAAACCTTATACAATCTACTTGAGGATCCTAATTTAAAAAAAACAAACAAACAAATAGAGAAAGAATCATAATACTGACTATGTCACTACATATTGGCTTCTCCTAACCACTAACATTAAAATTACAAAAAACCCAAGGGTAAAAATAAATAAAAAAGTCTATAAAAAAAACAAAGGAAAAGGGTTTAAAACATTTTGATATTTCTTGAAGAAAATAGAAGAAGGATATTATGAAAACCTTAAGGAACAATTTTCCAAAAGTCATTTTGGTAGATGCAATTCTTGAAGCTTTTCTAGACAATAGTTTATAAGAACCTATTTATGTTTGAGAAGAAAGTAAGGCTTAACAATTAAAAAATGTTTCTCTTAGATTAAACTTCAAGAAATAAGACAGAGAGAAGAAGATTTAAAAAAAAAAAATTATAATGTCCCAATTCCTGGATAAAAAGTTAGCAAGATATTATAAACATGATACAAATACACAACCACGTATGCTTTGCTATATTACTAATATGTTAATTTGGTTCAATTTAATAATAGAAAAAATTGTTTATGTGAAATGGCTTTATACATACTTGAGAATAACTACCAAGAACATGATCACTAAACTATAAAAAAAGGATACACTCAACAAGGACAACTAGGATATTTCCTCTAGTCCTCTTTATGAGTTTCAAATTTGGAGAGGAGTGTAATCCACTTTATTCGCTTTAATTTGGGTATATCTCAGCAGTTAATACATTTTTTCTAATTATATCATTAATTATTATTTACTTTCTCTTTTGCAACAAACACACTCATTACATTTTCTTATGCATTCTTTGTCATCATTTTTCTCATTTATTATGAATGTATGTGCATTTCTTACTTATTTATCACTTTTAACTGATTTTTTGTTATATGCAAATCTTTCATCTAAAGTTTATAATAAAGACTAGAGGAAGTATCTATCATTGAAATGTCTCATATGTGCTAGAGGAGAAAGATGCCATCGAATCATTAACCATGGTCATTATGGAACCCAAAGTTGGAAACTTGCTTAACATAAGAGAGAGCATGAGGTCTACATGATTTGGAAAAAGAAAAACCACATAGCAAGCATTACTCTACTGAGCATCATGGCTAATGACTAAATATGCAAGTATGAAAAATACCCAACATCTTAGGCCATGTAGAACATGCCGAATGATAAGGTTGGAGGTACATTTACCATCAAATTGAGGAGGCTAACAATTGAGTTTGACACCTATAAGCTTAGGCTTTATACTCCTATGAAACAACATCCATATCATATAGCTAACATAATTAGGGAATTGAAAGAAACTATGCATGTATTGTCTAATGAACAAAAAGTTCAGATTGTAATAAGTATAAAGCTCTTAACTACTTTAGACAATATATGAATGAAGTGGAAAATCAAATGGATAGGAAAATTGAAGTACTATGAACTAATTAAGTTTGTGAATATTTATTTGATCAATTTAAGAAGTTCTGTAAAAAAATAAGATAATTAGAAAATTAACTATCCTTGACACTTAATAACAAAATACTGCCACTCAGACAAGAAATAGAACACTATAGGATTCTTTATCAACATGAACTTTCATACCTAATTGTGTGTCTTCTAAGTTGGTCACACCCACACCTTATGAATTATGGATAAAATGCAAGCTTTTGAGCATCTTAAGGCCATAGGGTCAGTTGCGTATGGTCATGATGATTCCCATAATCATGAAAAATTAGCTCCAAGAGAGAAGTGTATGTTTATTAAATAGTCTAAGCAATTTAAGGATTACATTTTCATAGGTGAAAATAAATATGGAATTGTGATTGAAATAAAGTCAAGAGATACCATGTTTATAGAGAATGAGTTTCCAAGTAGGGGAGAAATTGATCTATATTGTATCTCTTTATAAGACATAGGAGTAAGACAATACATAATAAAGTAACAAATCTCAATCATCTCAAGATGTTGATTTGAGTAGGAGCTCAACAAAAATAGGAGTAGAAGTAGATAGGTAAGCAAAAGAATCCAATACAAAAAGGTAACAGAAAAAGTGTACCTAAGAAACACTTCTAAGTAGAAGTGTTTTTCATGACTCTAGAAGATGATGATGATAAGTCACATTCTTTTTAAGAGGCTTTATTAAGCTTTCATAAGGAAGAACGGAAGAAAGCAATAATGGAGGAAATGCACTCCATAAAAATATAAGGTTTAGTTAATTGGTCTGCCATAGTTATAAAATTGAAAGGACACACAAAATAATTTTTGTAAAATATCTATAAAATAAATCATTTTTTATAAGATCTCTATTGCATCAATAAAAATCACTTTATGTATTAAGAAATCGCTTTAATAATTTTATAAAAGAAATGGGTTCATGGTGTATTACTTTTTAATGAATGCTACACATGTATGTGCTTAAATTTTGGAATTATTTTAAAATTTTTGAAATCATTGTGTAATAAATTATTTTAAACATAAAATGTTAAAAATAAATCAGATAAATATGAACTAAAATTAAAATTGAAATTAAGTTCTAATTTCTTCCAGTAGTATATTATAAAAATTATATAAATGATATGGTACAAAATGATAAGTTTTATTATATAAAAATATCTTTTTTCTAAAAAGTAATAAGATTTTTTCCCTTCTTCCTGTTTTCTCCTCATCAACCAAACATCAGTAGAGACAATCACTTCTCACTTTTCTCTTCTATCTATTCCTCTCCCATCGTCCCAATGTTCTCTTCTCATGTCATGCATATTATAAACTATAATGGTCTAAAATCTTTTTATTTTATTTTATAGGAATATGTCGTTGTATTAATATACATGTGTGTAATTTGAGAACTAGCATCTTTTTTATATATAAAGGCAATTTATTCAACCAAACAAAACGAGTACAAGATTAATATATACGTGTATAATTTGAGAAAGAGCTTCTTTAAACTGATAGCTCTTTCCTCTTTATGGGATGTGATTGTTTACTATCTCAATCAACAGCTTATTAGTATTTGGTTCATAAATTAAGAGCAATATTAGATCAATTTTAACTTTCATTTTAGTTATTATATGATTACATAAATTCATAAATTATGCTGTATAATGAATCTCATTATCATATATAATTTGTGGAGATATATAGATATAATGGTCATAGTGATTTAAAAATCTCTAAATCTATTTTCATTTTCTATATACTTCTTAGATTCAAAATAATGCAAAGTAATTCTCAGATGATTGCTAATAAAAATTTTCAGTGGCGGAGCCACGAACGAAGTCAGAGGTGCAAAACAATTTAACATAAAAATAAGTAGTAATTAAAAAATAATTACACTAGGCCTAAAAGGCGATAACATAAGCAAAATGAGAAAATTTAAATATGTCGATATGAACTTTTTATTTAAATATAATACATATACACACACGTGTGCGTGCGTGTCTTTGTAACTTATCTCCATCGATCATTAAAATATAATGATGAAATTTTATTTTTTCCCCTTACATTTGATGGCAAATCTCTTAAATTAATTTCAGTTTGTTGTTGAATTGATATATTCTGATGAAATTAGAGATTTTTTGTTGCTGCTATTTTTATGACAACTGCCTCTTGAAAAATCTTTTCATTTTTATATCTAATATCTAGAGAACTTAGAATAATTACTTCTCTATAATTATTTAAGGATATCACCTAAAAAACTATATAATTACTTATAAATGAAAATGATGAAAAGTATACGAATAAATTATATATCTCAATTTCCAAGAATGTAAGAAAATCTCTATTATTTTATTATAGAGAAATTATCAATTAAAATTCTCTTTAAACAAAAAAAGAAAGCATGTTGTTCAATGGCACAACGAAATCACCAATATAAATAATTAACGGAACTACAATGAAAAATGATGATTTTTTTAAGATTGGGTTTTATTATAAACTGAACTAATTTTCAAACAAAATATTTTTATTAATGTTTCGCGTTTAATCAGTTTAAAATTTTGGGTTTCAATTGATATGATGACTTGCGTTAAACTATGGGAAAGTTCCTTAAAAAGCTAACTGAATAACTTCATTTACATTGGTCAAGCTTTTTTTTTTTGTTTGGGTCAAGATTTATTGGAAATGTGTTGTGATGAAAGAAAAATTGTTAATTTGGAATTGTAACTTGTGAACTATGTAATGGAATTTGTTACTTTAAGGATGTATTGTACTTCAATTTTAGTCAAGGTTTATCGTAAATGTATTATGATCAAAGGGAAGTTGTTAGTTTGAAATTGTAACCAGTAAAATGTGTAATAAAACAAAGCCATTCTTGTCATTTCAGTAGATTTTAAAATCCCTAATTGAGTTACTTAACCTAATTAGGGATTGCATATGTTCAGTAACCCAGATTCTAATTTGAATTATTTAGTTGACTTGTAAAGGTATTTTCCCTTAAACTATTGCTCATCTAACAAATTTTGAACTTACATTTTTATTTATTCGAAGGGTGCAAAATTGTTAAATTTACACACCTTGTATTCTCAAGGCAAGGGGATGTGCGCATAACTAAGTAGTGCCACTAATAATTTTATACTATCCCTGGTTCTTAATATAAGATTTGGTTTGTAATATGAACTACAAACCAGATTTTATAGTAAGGATCATATGTATAATATTTATTCTCAATAAAAAATTCAATGTAAGTGTCAAAAACAGAAAACAAAAAGCACTGAGCTTATAACCTAATGACATGTCATAAGTATGAGGTATGCAGATTTAATCCCACATGTAACCTCACGCCATCAGCAACAATTTGACACGACTCCAGTTTTGTTTACAACCACTCCAATCTCTTCTCTTTGTTTTGCTCTTTTAAGCCATTTAACTTGTTCTTCGGTATAACTATTAATAGAGACAGTGATATGATTTAGGTATATAAAAGATAGTGGGAAAAACTAAATGGGAAAGTGTGGTGATAATAAACCGCGTTTTTTATACGTAGATTAGTAATAATGACAAAATATACAAGAGAAGAAGTGTTAGACTGTATGGAGCTATTAGAATTATTCAGGGGACTTATGTTTTGCTCGTTTCTATAGATTTTTCACCTATGTATGTTTCTTATTTAAAAAAAAAAAGAAAGAAATTTATGAATTCAAGCTTTTAGCTTGAATCGGATAAGCTTTCAAATTCGAAACACCACTTTCTTGTCGTAGAGTGGGATGCTATTCAAGTTTCAAACACTCAGGTTTTTAGAAGGAGAGTGTGACTAGCACAAGTTTTTGGAAGAACCGCATTCCAAAAGCTATAAAGTTGGACGTAGTCCAGGGCTATAAGCCCTTCTTTCAAGAAAACCCAGCCACTATGGGACTTATAACAATACACTCTCTTGAGAACCGATATCTCGACAGCTTCATGCTATAGCGCTTCACTCGACCTCCTATCAGTCAGCCGCTTCGCAAGTAGCTCCCTCTTTGGTTAGTCATTATTGGAGTAGGAGAACCCAAGAACTCATAAGGCTCCTCTTTCAAATAATCCCATTTTGTTGATGCATATCATCCAATTCTTTATTATGCAATCTGCGATACAAAAGACAGAATGCAAAAGAGGAAACCTCCTTCTTTCCTTATGCGTGTGTATTTTGTCAGTCAGGTTCTCTCTTCTTTTCTTCCCTTCATCATTCCTCCTCTTTTTTTTGGTTGTTGATATATTTCAATAGTTCAAATTTTAATTTTTTAAAAACTTATTTATAAAATATTTTTAGTGCATTCATAAATTGTTTTGCGCTACTGTGAGTGGAGGTCGGCCTGAGAACGGGCAGGTTGTTGCATGGAAGTTTCGAGCAGCAGGGTGGACCAAAATCAACTTGGACGGCACCTTCTCATGCTCACATTAATCCACAACCGCATGTGGTGGGCTTATGCGAGACGAACATGGCATGGGCATTACCTCAGGGGCTTCGTGCATCATATAGATGATGGAGATGAAGTGTCTGCTGAACTGTGGGGTCATTTCATTTACGCGAGTTACGGGTGTTTGGGTAGTATGAAAAGTGTTTTTTAAAAGCATCTTTTTGTAAGTTGAAATAAACTCCTTCATATATTGTAAAAGTACTTTTAAAACTATGATTTTGATTTCATCTAAACACCCTCTTAAGCTAGCATGGGATGTCGAGCATTGAAACGTGTTGCTCGGTAAGGGTGTTCAAGACCGGCCCGTCCTGTTCAGCCCATTCCGGTCTCGGCCTTATTGGAACGGGATGGGCTCGTCCTGAAATTTTTCAGAATGGAACAAACCAGGATAGGACAAAAAAAAGGATCGGAATGGGACAGGAAGGGACATGGGATGGGGTTGTCCCATCCCGGTCCCTTTTATTTTGTTTTTTTTTTTCATATTTATATAATATCATTATTTTCATATTTTTTTCTTTTTAAGATTTGAGACTATTATATGGAACTATAGATCCATTTATTTAGAGCTTTTATATTTGTTGATGATTTGAGACTATTAATAATTAGAATTTTCAGCAAACTTTTATTGTGTTAAAAGCTTTTATTTAGGGTTTTTAATGACTATTATATGTAATATGTTGGACTTTTGTTTAAGGGTGCCCAAAAAAATTAAAAAGAAAACAAAAAGATGTTTTACAAGGTCTAAGCTTGAAAAACTATAATTAGGAAAAAAAATCAGATTTTATTACAATAGGCCGAACAACTCAAAAAAAAAATTTTAAACAAAAATTATATTAGGACGTTCCATTCCCGTCCGGTCCCATCTCGACCGGGACTGGGACAATACCAGGATAGGACGGGACACGGGACATTTTTCTGTCCTGTTACTGTTCAACACAACAGAATTGGAACGAGCCTGTCCCGATCCCGATCCGTCTGTGAACAACCCTATTGCTCAGAACGGATTCGACGTCTGCTATGTACAGAGCTTATTGAGAATACACCTAACTAAGGACATGCGGATTATACGATACCTGCAATTCTTGGATGATTTTCAACTCATGAGAAGTCCCATGGCCTCAAGTTTTTCTTTCCATTTTGTTAATTCATCAAGGCAATATTTTAATTACTGAATGTCAAATAAAAAAGGTGAACGGTTTATGATTCTCATGGTCCAACTTGTAAATAGACTAGCAATCAAACCATTGATGTAGTGATTAAATAAAAATTTGTTTAAAAATAATTATATGCACATGACATATTTATACACACATATATAATAAATTCATAATAAGTCTTATTATCAACATACATAGCAATACCATAATATATGAAGTTTTTAATGAAACAACACCATATAGTTGTAAATGGTCTGAAAATATATTAGACTTTTAGAGAAGGTCGATTTTTAATTTTTATAGGTTTTTAAAAAAAATTTCCAACATTTTTTAACATACTAAATAAGGTCTTGTAGCCCGTAAGTAAAAAGTCAAGGGTTCCATGTGGCCCGTAACCTCAACCTATTAATACCCGCTCCTTTAATTTTTTTTTTTTTAAAAATCAACATTTTCCCATCAAGCCCATAAAACGGTCCAGTTTTCTAAAAACCACATTCTACTTCTAATTCTAGGTTCCAGTTCAATAGTGGTTTGACTCTAATCCAACTGGTCAGACCATCTAGTTCTAATTTCTTGTCTAATTTTGAAGGAACAAAAAACTGAATTAGACACTAAACCAGTTGAAGTAGTAATTTAACGGTTAATAAATTAGATCATAGTCAAACGGGTCATACTAAAACCATAAAATTTAATTGACAATTACAAAATATCACAACATCATCACTAATATCAAAATACAAGAAAATACAACAATATTTTAATAATCAATTGGATTATAATTTTCCTTCTTTTTCTTTAATATACTCATTTGGTGATAAATAAAATTTTATTAAATATAAATTCATGTTAAAATAAATCGCTCATAGTTAATATAATATAATTTGGCTAAAAATATTTCTTCTTAATTATGAAAAATCTTTAAATAAAAAAATACTTCTAGTTAAAAAAAAAAGAAAACTCTAGATTTTAAATTAAGTTACTTTATAGAGATTTTGTCTTCCCAATGTGACCCCCCAACCTAGCAGGTCGGCTAAAACTCTCCAGGCTAGCTTTTTTCCCCTTTAGGGAAAGGACTGGACTGAACAAATGGCCAGTTCACCGATTTTCAGTTTGAATCGACTAATCCGGTCCGGTCTTATTTTTTATATCATGTTGATCTTAGGTTAATGATTTGAGTCTAATCCAACGCAACTCAACCACAAAAATAGTGCTTTGATTTAAATTAGGTCATTATTAGCGAGTCTAGGCGATGATCCAACTAGTCTGACTATCTGATTTTGGTTCCATGTCCAATTCCAGGTTCTAGTTTAATGGTGGTTCGACTCTAATCTATCCCAACTCAACCATCCAAAAATATAATCCAACTGGTCATACCATCTGGTCTGATATGATCCCATTTTTAAATCATTTTTTCAAAGGTGGAGACGTTAGAGGGAAGAGCAGTTGTAACGTACGTAGGATCTGGGGAGAGAATGTGACCTTTAAGGCAGTGAGTTTGGTTTTATTCTCTTGGGTGTTCGTGTTTTTCTTCTTCTCTTTATTTTTGTTTCTTTTTACTGCTTTACGTGCTCTTACATACCTGTCGCATGTTTTTTTAAGTGTTGGAATACACAACACGCACCCTCAAGTACGTGACATTCCTGGACCAATAACATTTTTCATCTGTTCTTTTTTTGGTGAAACCTTTTTTTTAAAAGAAAAAATAATTATGTGAATGTCTTTATATTGTTTTTAAGGCATTTTGGAACCTCTGCTAGCTACTTGTTTTTTCCAATCTCACCTGTCGTCTTCTTCAGGGTTGAGACCAAATACTAGAGAAAATTTGGAGCAAAAAAAAATGGAAATTAATTTTTCAAGTGGTTTAATTTATATACTACCTCCGGTCTTAATTATAAGAGCCAGTTAACTAATCTGAGGAGATTAAGAAAGTAAGTTGAGTTAGTTATTTGTCATAAATAGGTGTTGTTTTTCCTAAAATGTCCTTATTAATCAAGTGTATTGATTATAACTATAATTATTAGAAGGGTTATCTTGGAAAAAATTGAGTAAATATGAGAGACAAAGTGGATTAGGATCTTATATTTAGGACCAAAATAAAAGTCAAATAGGATCTTATATTAAGAACCGGAGGTAGTATAATGTAATAGAGGGCGTCTTATTTTTTTTAAATCACCTTATTAAAAAAGGTCATGTAAATTAAACAATTTTTTAAGTTGCAAAACGACTCTCTGTTTTTATGTGGTGGTGAAGTATCTTCTAGAGATAAAAATATATAATTAAATTAAATTAATATAATTATGTTTAAGTGGAACACTTGGAATCATCACTTGCTAAGGATTTTTTAGCAACCCAACAGAAGAACAATTGATCAGCGATTAATAGGATACCATATATAGTACTTGAAAATGAATTCTAGAAATGGAAAATTTGTTTATTAAAAAAGAAAATGACTTTGAAGAAGTAGTGAGTTAATTATACATATACTTACTAGGGTGGATCTTTAATTGATAGGTACCAGATATTGCACTATCGTTAATTGTGCTTACCAAAGTAAAAAAAAAAAAAAAGGAATATTTTTAAGAGGGTCGACTTTGAATAACTAAGGGTTGCTTTGAAATAAGGTCTTATCTTATTGTGTGATAACAATGCATATGTTAGCATATTGTTAATAACTGATCAATACATCATGATATGTAAGACCAAACATGTTATGTCGAACTTGATCAAAATTTGAAGAGTTATTGTGAAGCAGGTTGGGAATTCTCAACATCCATTTTAATTTTCTTTTTATTTTTATTCTCAAGTTGGGAATAATAACACAAATTAAACTCCATGCATCACTTAAAGAAATATTCTTTGACGTACATAAAACAAGTAACAGTTAACATTCAACTTGTCCAAAGAATCAAAGTAAATAGAAGAAACAGAATAATAGAACTCATACTTGTGAAGTCCAGATCTAATAATTCATATGGGAAACAAACATACCTGATATAGATTAACTTGGATTGAGATTTGTTATGTCCAAATTCAAACAACTAAAGCTGGTTGGCTCAAACCATTCAGGAGATTTCCTCTCTCTCTCTCTCTATATATATAAACAATACGAAAGAATACTGTTAGAAGAATAATATATATAAGAGCTTCATTAATGGTTAGAAAGCTTTGGCTGAAATGGGAAGGAGCTAGAAAAGGAGAAAACATGCATGAGAATTGTAATTTTCAAGGCAAGAAACTTAATTAAAAAAGAAAAAAAGCATGTAGAATTGGTAATTATATCAACATATGAAAAATTAAAACATATCATACATAAATTAAAAACTTCAGAAATGCAAGAGTTTTACTTTGCAAGAAATTAAACTCACACATACCAGGTATATAGAGAATATATATATCGATCTCTGTGAAAGTAAGGAACAAAGAAAAGCTTTAATGGAGAGAAAGCTTTAGACGAAGCAGAAGGCGAAAGAAGGAAGAAGATGAAGAAGATGATGATAAAGAGAGTGTTGTGAGTTTTGGAGGCGAAGAAGGGGGAAAAAATATAAAGAATGGAAACACAGAGAGAATTGGTAAAGAGCAAGAGAGAGGAATATTAAGGGAGGCCCCAAAGTGCTGACGTGGATGAATAGAAACCTTGAAGGTGGACACGTGGGATGCCACGTGGGAGGGTGACGTGGCGGATATCTAAACCTAGGCTGTGAATAGTGAAGCCATGGGATCCCCATGTGATCATGTAGATCTGAATTCTACACGTAGCACAACCAGACGCAGGGTTAAAGATTATGCTTTAGTTCCTTCTTTGCTTTCAGTGGGCCCCAACATGATGTTGAGCCTTATTTTGTATATTCACTTCCAACTCAAAAAGCATCCTCCAACCAACAGGCGTTAGGTTTAGCAGAAGGAATTAGTCCCTCACAACGTGACGAACCAAGGTTTGAATCCCACTGGGAGAGGTGTCTACATTTAGTGCCCGACATTACCTTGAATAGGATTGCTTCCAATAGGAGGATACCTATGCTTTAGCAAAAAAAAAAAAAGCATCCTCCAATAAATGGTTAAGATTAATCCAACATCATAAAATATGTACTCCTCGGCTACTTATCATATAATCTAATTAGAAAGTTGATATTATTCTTATATCTAAGAATTATTTCACAATTTTATCAATTTTTTTTTCAAATTAATTGTATTGATATTCCTTTAACAATAATTAAGTAAGAAAAAGAGAAAGAGAATTGAGAAATATACTTAAAGTATTTTTAAAAGAAAACATATCATATTAACTAATTTGACTAATATCTTTGATCTGATCAAATTAGTTAATTAGTTCTTACATTGAGGATCAGAGGAATTTTTTTTTATATATATATATATATATATATATGTATAGTGTCTTAGACTATTTTGTAGTTCAGCTAACATCTTGAAATATTTCTTTAGATCCGTACATCTAACATTCTAACATATTTTATGGTGCAATTACCCCCTTAAAATATTGAGATGTTGGACTTACTTGAAAAAATACTTCAAGGTACTAAATGAATCACAAAATATTCTAAGGTGTTAGTCTGTTAAATACACATGGCAAAACACTTCAGGATATTGGATAAACCACAAAATATTTATAAGATAATGGATGTATCTGAAAAAATATTTTAGGATATTGGATGAATCTTAACCCATAAATTAGTATAATTATGAACTTTGTACTCCTTTTAATCCTATATATAAGAGCTAAATAGTCAATTTATGTAAATTATAGAAATTAATTAAATTAATTATTTGTAATAAATGTATATTAGTTTTTTTTCAAAATACTAATTTTCATCATTTGCATTAAACGACCCCTCTGACGAAATATCTCATTCATGCATACCATAAATATGATTATTTGAGAAAAATTATGAATTTGTTAAACAAAATAAATTGAAATATTATATTTACAATGAAAATAAACCCCTCTTTCTTCTCATTTAGGACCAGAAGAAGTATTTTGTGTATAAACATATTCATTTATGTTTACTTTTTGTGATGCAACTACATGATGATACTCATATTATTATGTTAGATTTAAGCATCAATGAACCTAACTGGAGACAATGTTTTTTTTTAATGCGATTTTCTCCTATGCCTAAGACCTTACATTGTTCAAAAAGAGTTGAGGCATTATTCCCATTATATATTACTTTCATATCAAATGCATAAATATATTAAACTAAAGAGTTTAATTTAAGTCACAAAAACATCTAAGAACCACCAAAATATAGGAATTCCACAACAATATCTTAGAGAATGGCTAATTTTTTATGAAATCTTCTGAAATTGAATTGTTTTATGAAATGATTGAATTGCTCTCAATGAAATTGATTGACATTGACCTTTTTTTTGGTGATCATTTGATAAGTCAAAATTGTGTACTAGTTAAATTGTGTCATAATATTTGGTAAGAAATTATTGTGAAAGTAGTTATCATTGCCGTTGGTATTGTTGCCATCTGATAAATTAATGTTGTTATTTGTTAAATTGTTATTGCCGCTTCACCTTTTTTTTTTCTTTTCATTTTTTGTAAATTAAGAGTATTGAGTTAATTTCACCACAAAATTCAATCCTAAATTAAAATTAGTCCCTAAAACCTTTATACTCCTCCGGTCTTAAATATAAAACCTTATACTAGTCCTAAATATAAAACTCTTATATTAGAATGTATAAGAGTATTGTATTTAGTACCCGAGGAGTAGTAATTAAGGTCATTTTAAAATCCTGATTTGGGACTTGCATATTTGAAAGTTTTTTTTTTGGTCTTTCTTCCTCAATTACAGCTTCACATGTCTGCCAACCAACCAATATGCTGATGGATCATCCAAATCATCCAAACGAAAACAAAATAAAAATAAAAATGAAACCAAATGTTATGTATAGCCTTTTAATCTATATACTACTCATAAAACTCCATAACTATGTTCTTTATAAGAACTTTTTACATTTCTAGTAATTATTTCATTGTTAATAGTTCTTGTTCTCGTTATAAAATATTTGCCTACAGTTTTACTTGCGGCTTCAAAGTAACATAACAAAATAGAGATTATAATTTTTTTTTAATTTTCTTGAAAAAATATAGCATAATAAAATTATAGGCATGCAAAAAGAATTTTTTTTCCAAAAAAAAAGTATATTGATAATAGGCTAAACCATATGTTTGATTGTTTAATTTAAATTTATCTCAAATTTAATTTACTTTTTTAAGTTTAAAAAGTATATGTTTAGTTTGTTAACCTTAACATATTTAATCCCATTTAATAGCAAATGCCGACTCAATAAATTTAAATAGTAATTATGTAGTTAAATGCTAACAAAGGATGCTCCAAAATTTTAGCTCTTTAATATAGTTTTTGTCATATTTTAAAATTCAAGCATTTGTAAAAATGATTAGATTAAAAGATTAATTTAGAACATGTTTTATTAGCATTTAATTATAGGATCCTTATTTAAATTTTCTAAGCCAACATTTTCCGTTAAATGAGGCTTACAGTGTTAAGATTACGAGACTAAAAATACATTTTTTAAACTTAAAAAATCAAACAGAAAATTGATGTATTAGCCATGATCAATATAATATCTTTATTAATTAATATAGAATAACAATAAACAATTAATAATGAAATTTATTCTAAAAATTTAGATCAAACACACGACATTCCTTTTATCAAAAGTTTTCGGTCCTTTTTTTCTTTTATCAAGGAATATAATACAGTTCATTTATATATTGAGTTTAATTAAATTTGCATAAAGTGTTTCCTAGGACCACAAAAGAATGTAATAATAGATTGGAGAATATACAAATTGACTACTCTATAAGGTAGGGGAGATATAGAGTTTTGAAAAAAAAAAAAAACAGAGAGAGAATCCCATGAAAAAATTTGAGATTACTAAATTTCAAATAAATTTGTTTACAAAAATATGTTATCAAACCTGATTTAAGATTTTGTAACGTTGAAGCTATATGTTGTGTATTATCAACGATTTTCACAGAAAGTGGTAAAATTATGTCCTGAGTAATTACATTTCTCGGACCCTTAACCCAAATAGACGTGTCCCAAGTTCCATTGTTTAAATATTACAAACCACTAGACATGCAATCTTTTTTCTGGAAAAAAGACACTTTTTTTTTTGGGAGGTGGCACGAAAATTTAAAATGAGTTTCATTTATATATCACGCGGCTAATTATATTTCATACGTTGTAATAGACATATAATTTTATAATAATAGTATGATGCATATAACAATTCAATATACATTTATGAACTTATTTATAAAAATTTTATAGTTTTATGTAATACAGAAAAATCATATGCCCTTATAAAATTTTGACTACAAATGAAATAAAAATATTTTTTTATTATAGGGAACAAAACACCAGGAAAAAGAAAAGGAAGGCAAATAACATAAATAAAAAATGGCCTGGTGATGTCACACAAGTCAAAATTATTTTTTAATTATGTCAAAAGGCCTTATGATTGGTGGGAGAAAAATGAAAAGCAGATGAATGGTTGAAAGATTTTAACGAGTTTAATTTAAAAAATTAAAGAATTATAAAATTTTAATAAAAAGATGAAGGTGAGATAAAACAGCAAGAAAAATCAATTAAAATTTTTAACCTTATTTTCTTAATTTTTTAAATTGAACTTATTTATTTTTTCCCCCTTTCCCTTCATTTCTCTCATATCAAGCCGGTTCAGAATAATGCAAATTGATTCTACGATGTTGTTAAATCACATCATTTGTTTCTTAAAAAAAGTGTCCGGAGGCACTATAATTTTATATTAAATATTTAAGCTCAATAGATTTTACTTTCTCTAGATTAGAACGATAAATCTTTTAATCAATAATAAATTTTAGGAGAAAAATAATTCATGCTGATTTTGTAGAGAGATACTGGAATTCATTTGAAAATATTTTATAAAACTATTTTTTTATTTTCATGCAATCTATGGTTGTGACCTACACAGATTAAATTTATTTATTTATTTTTCATTTACTATTACAGTCATAATTTTATAAATTATTAAATTTCAACCATTCATTTGGTAATTCGATGACAACAATGAGCTGAGAAAAAGGGAAACGAAAAGAAGATGAGAAGACGATAAATAAATAAATAAATATTATTTTAATATAATCCAATCAATCAGGATCAATGTAAAAATTGGTATGGAGAGAAAACATTCCTGTGGAGGACTGACCAGATTGATTTTGGATTTGTTTGTTTTTTTTTTTTGCCAGGATATATTTATTTATTCTATGACGGTATAATCATTACAATTCATTTTTTGTGTGTGTGCGTATTAGAATTCATTTTTAAATTTATGCGGCCCTGGTTGCTTCAAGCTTTAGCCTGCCCCACTTTATGCCATATACCAAAAACCTATTGAATACTTAACGGGGAATCTCATGAAAAAAATTCAGAATTATTAAATCTCAAATCAGATTTAATAACAATATTTTAATAGGTTTGATAGCACTGGACATACAAAAAAAAAAATTTTTTTTAATAAAAATTTCTTATTTGAAATTTAGTAATTTTAATTTTTTTTGGGTTGGAATTCTCCCTATTTAATATTCCCTTTAGCCCTCATTATAAGGACTTTCTAAATTGTCTCTATTTTACTTTTTATAAAAAACCATTCTCTCCAATCCTAAATATACAAATTATTTGAAGGGTTTTGATATTAAATATAAGATTACAATTCATTTTGTCTCCAAAATTTATAATTTTTTTAAAACTATTAATTTTATATATGAAATTAGATTTCTATTAAATAGGCAGCTTCCAAAACAAATAAACCAAAAGAGTATTTTAGAGAAATCAATGTTTTTTTAACAAATTATCAGCTTAACTAATTTTCTTAATCTCTATAAATTAGTAATCTACTACTTATATATTTAGGACGAAAAAGAGTATTAATTTATTTATTAAACATCTTTTGCTTTGATATTATTGCTCAACCAAGCTAAACAGTCCTAATTAAGTAAAGGTACCTCATCTAATTAATGAACTTATTGATGATGATTTCAAAATTTCAAAAATAGCAATTAATTTAAATACGATTTCTTAATTTATGTAAAAGTTATTAATATGTCTTCATTATAAGGACTAGAAAGTGAAATTCTTTTTTGAAAAAAAAAACCTTTATCTACACTGGTTAAATCAGTGTAGATATTGTTTTCTAGGCCGGATCAAGAATCGGTGTAGGACCTAGGAAGTGAAAAACGTTGGATTAAGTTCTCCAATCATATTTTGCCGTGTGAGATTTTTATTATTAATAATTATCCAACAAAATTTTGAAATTTTAACAAAAATCCACATGGTAAAATTTGATTAGAGAACTTAATATAATAGATCTAAATAATAAATAAAATGACTTAAATTTTTTCCAAAAATTTTTTACACCAGTTATGAAATTGGTATCCAGATATCCTTTTTGAACCATTATAAGAAGGCGTTTTGGCACTAATGCAATGTTATTTGTTTTTCTTTGCTTCTTGTTTTCAAAAGAAAACTTCTGGAGACTTCCAATTCATGGATAATTTTTAACTCATGAGAAGTCGTCAACGCCTTAATTTTTTTCTTTCTTTCTTTCTTTTATTCTTTCTTTTTTCCCCTTTATTTTGAACCATGATCGTTAAATTCATGAAAGAAACAACTGGGAATCTGGGGGAAAAAGTTATGAGGTACTGTTAGTGGGGAGAGATTGTGACCCTTGAGGCTGTGAATTTGACTTGATCTCCTTTAGTGTTTTATTTTTTTCAAAAAACTTTATTTTGCTCTATAGTTTTTGTTTTTTTTAACCTTTGAATCTTATGCCTTCTTTGTGGTATTGGCTTCACTTACTTCTCATATTGCTGTAACCGTTGGAATACACCAACACCCTCAAAGGGGGATTCCTGGACCAAGTTTAGTCCTCTTTGCATATTTTATTTGTTCTTTACGTGTGAAAGCAAGTTGTTTTTTTCTCTTTATTTTCTATTTTATTTTGAACATAATTCTTATATATTTTTTAGGACAATTACAATGAAGTCCCATGAAAGAGAATAACAAATGAGTAGTTATTATTTACTACTTTAAAACTTGTCATCACATTATATCACTAGAACTTTTTAGTAGTTATGTTTCCTACTTGGTACTTTATTCCAACTCTCTCAATTTTATAAAAAGAAGTTATGCTTACTTGATACTTATGCTTTAGGAAAAAAAAAAAAAGTTATGCTTCTTCTAAGGCATTTTGGTCAAACAAGGAAGGTGTTTTTTTTTGAAAAAAAATATTTTTGTGCATTAGAGAAGTGAAAAACAAGAATATCCTATTTGGATCCTTTCCATTTTTTTAATGGGTTAATGTACTTTATAGTTGGTTCTAAGAATTTGATCAAATTTTAATTTTAGTCTTTATAGTTTTAACTCGTGATTTTTAATTTTTTGTAGTTTCATAAGGATTTTATCTGAGTTTAACAGCATTAAATTTTATTAGTTAACGTTGTTGAGTATAAAAACCAAAATTAAAATTCGTTAAAGGTACATAGACTAAAGTTCATATATTTTT